CATCAGTGCGCCCGGGTTGAAGGAGTTTCTCAACATCACGCTCGACGAGACCGTCTGGTATATTGGGACTAGCCTGACAGTATGTTTGCCGCTTTTGGAAAATTTTTAGGGTGAGCCTAGTCCTCCGAAAAGCTCGCTTTTTAGGAAACAGACGCTACCGGCCAAGAATCAATCTATTGGCCCCATATGGGTCTCACTTCCATGTGCATCGTGTGGTTCTGCGGTTTCTACATGGTGCTGAGCTTGACAGGGATAAAAATGTGGGTTTGATGGCACCAAGGCTTATAAGAATTTCAGCTTAAAAACTTCAATCATTTCTTCTAAACCTTTAACTTTCTCTAACGGCATCAAAAAGCCATCTAAATGGGTTAGAGTCCAGCTTACCACCCCCCCCCCCCCTCGCCCCCAACCGGCGCCCAACCGTTTTATTTTGAGTATACCGAAAATGTTTGCCTTGCTTTGGCGAGCATTTTGGTGTGCTTTATTATTTGGTAGGAAAACGGGGAGCTGAGATACGGTAGGTGGGGTTCGGCTGGGGAGGGGGGGGGAACGGCACCCAACCCCCCAAATGGTGTGTTTTGCTATTAGACTGACGGGGCATTATGCCAAAATTAGCACCCACCGCCAAGAGTCCAGTACCTATTTTTTTAGGTACAACCACGTAAAATCGGGCATAGCTTCCGGCAAGCAACACAAACTTCAGATGCAACTGCTTGCCGTCTTGTGTGCGCAGGTATCGTTTAGTTGCCACGACTCCTAATTATTCAAAAAGTTTTCAGGCGGTTTCCCCAGTCATCTTCGAGCTTTTCCCCGCTTTTTGTCTGCTTTATGGTGGATTTTCGCGCAAGCCATCTAAAAACGGCGAATTTAAGGTTTTTAGGGGTAATCGAAGACCCAAAGGCTGGGCTCTATTTTGCAATGTTTATCGCTGGTTATTCGCCGGCGGATGCCATCTCAGTGTTGATCCTATTTCGGGTAAGTTTGAGTAATCGCTTAAATGTATAGGGGGAAGGCCTTTCTGTACCTTTAAAGGGCCACGAGGCGCCAGAAATTGATTTACGGCGCGAAAAACCGAGCACTGTACGTGGAAGGTCTCTGCACACCCAGTGGGTATCGAAATTGAGGCTCTGACTATCAAATTCTGTTTGGTCACCTCGAAGCTTGTCTTCTCATCCCTTTAAGGCCGAAATTCGCCGATTAAAAATCTCTTGATCACTAAAATTCACCACCGTTTCAAAAACAAGCTTGGTGTTTCAAAATGAAAATGTTTTCACGATACATGCAAAACGTTTTCGGGCACGCAGAACTCTCGTCCGGTGGTTCGCATTTTTCTAAACAGTTTCCCCGTCCCAAAAAGGCCTTTTATGACTTTTTGTCAATTTGTTGGGGGGGGGGGCTTCTTTGTCCAATTTCTATAATCTTTTTGCAGCCCTATCGCGCCCGTGTCGCCAAGAGGATGGGGAACACCGCCGCCTTTCTCAAAAGGATCTGCAAGGCAGGGTCGAAGGTCTCAAGTGCAGCGGCTTATTCGGCTTAAACTGGTACCCAATGATTTTCACAATGATGAGATAAATTTTGACTGTTCCTTCCACAGTTTTTATTTAAAAAGATATGCCCTTATTTTGTGTTACCCCATATTGATGCCCTGCGAATATCGCTTTTTTTTCTGCGCTGCAATGTGCAGACTATTCTGATTTATCTGTAGTAAGATTTTTCCAGAATTGTCTTACGGTGTACTATTTTGTGCCCGCAACGTTAAAGTCGCTTCATAATTTCGTGGTTTGGTTTCGGTTTTATGAGGTGACGCAAGAAAATTATTTCATCTTATATACCTCAGCGTTGGCGCGATAATCAGTAACTTGCTTACCAGCTGACCGTGCCTCACTACTTTCTCTTTGACCTCCTTGTCCTTGCTTACCAAGTTTTATCACCTTAAAGGTATCTAACGTTTTATTTCTAGACCAACGATGGACTTCCTCAATTTGCCGCTCGTGTTCCATGAACGCCTTGCGGGTTTTGTTGCGAGCTCAGGCCCAAAGACACGGTTCCGCTACGCACTTGCTTGCCGATGGTTGTGGAAAATGATTGAGGAATCGAACGACAATCACATGGATGCCGATGTATATATCGATCAGGACCACTTTTCCATCAAGCATCGCGAAGGATACATAACTCTGGGACATCGTAATCCACGCGTCCAAAGCCTTATATTATCGGGAACAACCGTATCAAGCGTCCTGCTGCGATGGTGGCCAGCGTATGAGATGCCGACAGGCTTGAAAGCGCTGGAGGTGCAAGTAATGGAACGTGGTCATGATTTTGCCCTCCGTACGAACATCCTTCAGGAGTTGAAACCGCCAAATACAAAATATAAGCATTTTCGCTTCTGGAGTCACAACAGCCCCCCGCCCCGGCTCTTCCATCTGGCGAATCGCCATGTGCATTCAATCGAATTGACACTTTATCCGCCTGTTAGACCGTACTTCCAACTTCAATGTCCAAGCATGCGTATCGACATCAATTCCACGGACTTCGCGCATGCGCAAACATTTCTCGACGGGTTGGTGGATCAATGGAAGTCAGGAATGCGAGAGATTGAAGATATCGAGCTAACAATGTGGAGCACGGCACAAGTTGATACCTGTGTTCACATCCGCAGGGACGGCCAGAGAATCCGGGTAGAGTGTCGGCATACAGGAAGCCGCAATAGTGTTCTGCATCTGACCGTGACAAGAATCGACCCTCCAACCAGTGAAGATTAGACCAATTTTGATCGTTAATTTGTGTATTGTAGCAGATAAAAACATTCGAAAGACCCATGAGGTCATAACATTTCCATCGAGCTGGCCACAAATCGATCGATAAGAAAGATGTGTTTTACCCAGCCTAATTTTGTCCAGATCGACATGACAGCATTGCTGGACAGGCCTTTTTGCCAGTAATTAATTTCATGAAGTCACCGAGGCGTTTGCGTTATCTTTCCCAGGTTTTCGTATTTGCGCTGGCCAGACACGTAGCGCGCATTGTTGGCTGAGTCACCCAAACCTGGCGATTTCGGAAAAGCCCGCATCATTGCTATTTCCATTTCTCATCCCTATTCGGTGCCCCATCTTGGGTCCTCGTGTCTATTTAATTGAAGATTAATTTGTTCTTTTTCCCTATTGACTAATTTCTAAAAATCAATTTACTTGGCCCGAAAAACCCGTCCCCTGACTGTCCTCCCCTGTCCGATTTTTACGATTTAGGTTTCTTTAGGTATAGGTTGAAGGCACTCGACGCGCTGTGTTGATCTTTCTTTTCCGAGTTTTGAAGTACCTGCTTACTTACTTACTAAACTCTAGTAAAATTATTGCAAAACAGTGCGGTTCTCTTTTGCGCTTCCGACGCCCGGTTTTGTGCTAAAAATGCGTAAATTGTGTATGAAAATGCCGAAAATCGAGTGCGATACTGCAAAATTGCGAAATTCGGGAAAAACGTAAGTCCTCAGCTCCTAGGGAGCTCTCGATTTTCGATAGATACTTAAATCGTGAGAATCGGACCGGTCTGCGAACGGATTTTTTGGAGGGACTGGGATTTTTTGGAGCCCTTGTAATTGATTGTTTTTTTTAGATTATTCCAACGATGGAGTTTCTCGATCTTCCCCGCTTCTTCCACGAACGGGTCGTGAATTTCGTTGCTAGCGCGGGCCCCAGGGGCCGCCTACGCTATGCACTCACGTGTAGATGGCTGTGGAAATTGACCGAGGATTCCAGGGACAACCGAATGGATTGCACCGTATTTATCGAAGAGGACAATTTGCTGATTGTTCACAGCGAGGGCTACGCATCTTTACGCGGTGATCCGCGTGTCCAGACGGTTATGCTATCGCACACAACCGTCGAAAAAATTGCATTGCAGGGCTGGCCAAAGTATGAGATCCCGCATGGCTTGAAAACGTTGGAGCTGCATGCGATGGAAGAAGCTGGACATGACTTCGCGCTCCATTCAGACATCATTAAGGAGCTCACACCACCGAACAGAAAGTATCAACTGTTGCGATTCTGGGAGCGCCAACCACCTTGTGACGAACTCTACGATCTTGCCAATACCTATGTTAATTCGATCCAACTGCAAATCACGCCGCCGCTAGAGCCATACCTCGGACTCAAATGCCCGAAAATGCGTCTCGAGATCGATTCCGCGGATATTACTGACATTCAAAGATTTCTGGATAGATTGGTGGATGAATGGAAGTGCGGGAGGCGAGAGATTGAAAAGATTAAACTTCGCACGTTATCCATGCATGCATTCGAAAGCAATAATCACATTCGAAGTGACGGACAGATGATTCGGGTGGAATTCCGGCCGTTCCAGAATCACCCTGGCGATCCGATGATGACGATACTGATGATTGAGGTTGTAACGAGTGACCCTGTAGACTAATATGATGCTTATGTTGTGTTGTTATGATGCTTATTGCATTCAAAGAAGCAAAGCATAAAAATTTCCCAGTAACACTGTATAAAATTGGGCAACTGATTTGGACCGGAGCATCTTTCTAATAACGAGTGTTCCAAAACATCATTTTAAGTTTTTTAATTTCATAAAATCGGGAATTGTCAGTTTGCAAAATGCAACGTGCATCTTGTTCAGAATTGAATTCTCTATCGAATGAGCTAGGTCTGGAGCCGTTTCCAGGACGAGTCATAAAAAAGCGCTCCGTATAAGCTCTCTCTGAATGACAAAAAAATGACAAGAAGCTTTGTAAATTTTGGAATCGGGCTCTTCCGCAAATTTTAAAAAGTGCTTTGGAATCAGGCGCGTAGGAGGGCTCGAAAATTTCTGTCGACCCTTTCTGTCTTCCAACCACTCATACATCGAACTCGAAACCACAACAGAAGGCTTTTTCCGGTCTCAAAAATAAAGCGCCGTTTTACAAAATCTTTATTCTTGACCCAAAGATAAATACAGAAAATTATGCACAAAGCTACAGCAATCTCGCAATCAGCTGAGCTGGCTTATTTTTTGAGCGGCACGCATCGGTGGCAATCGTCTTTTTCGGAGGAGTACGTCTATAAAAGCCATGGAATTAGACTACAAAAAATACCTGATGCGAAAATTGCCATAAATGAAAAAATATAACGAACGAATAACAAACTACAGACTACAAACCTCAATCTGAACGGTGCATTCGTGTACGTTGTGCTCCCGTTTGAGCATGGCTCTGGTTTCCCGGAGGATGCGCTGGGAGTCGCGCTCGTCAGTAACTTCAAGATGTACGGAAACGGCCACCTAAGTAAAGGATGATTTGGATGTTTTTTAAGTGGTACGTTGATTTAATATTATTTAAGCATTACTTAGGTTTCCGTGACATGTAGAAAAATAGAAAATTTTTCCTAAATATCGAAAAAGTGGCTTACAAACGACCATTCAGATATTTAGACCACTTAAACCGATTAACTCGTCTACATCCCAATAAATACCAACCTTATCCATGGTCAGCGCCCATATCCTCAAATCGTGCACCTTCTCGATGCCAGGAATCGACTGGAGGGACTGGATCACCTCGCTGAAGTCGACGGAGGCCGGGCGGCCTGAACAAAATTATGGAAATCGCACCTCAAACCCTATTATACCTTCAAGGAGCACCACCAGCGCGTCCCTGAGAATGTAGATGGTCGTGCTGAGGACGATGACGGAAAAGATGAGCGTGCAAATTGGGTCGAGGATCGTCCAGGAGGGCTGGAAAAACGAGAGCTTATAAAATCGTTTCTGCAACTTTAAAGGGGCCAGGAAACGTTAGAAGTAATAGATTTTTGATAAGGTTTGACAATTACACGCTACCCACGCTTTACGATATTATATTCAGTAAAAAACTATGAAATCTGGTGCATTTGATGAATTTGCTTACAGGAATTTTCTCTCTTCCAGCTCCTCAATTCTCGCTCTTTCTTTGTCTCTGTCTCTCTCTAACTCTCTCTTCTCCTCTAGCTCTAGATGTCTCTCCCCTTGTCCCTCTCCATCACGCTGTCTCCCTCTCTCTCTCATTCTCGCTCATTTTCGCTCCATCTTTCTCCTTTAGCTCTTGCTTTCTCTCTCTCTCTCTCTCTCTCCTCTCTCTGTCTCTCTCTCTCGCTCTCTCTCTCTCTCTCGCTCTTTCTCTATCCCTCTCGCTCGCCCTCTCTCGCTCTCTTTCGGGTCCCTGGTACTCTCACCGAAGTTATGTTAAATCAATGCCGAAAGATTTCCAGTCAAATTTCCTGTTCCTTGTGACTTCTGACCAATCGTCCACCTTTTTACAAATCGTAGTGCTCACCAAAGAGCACGTTAATCTCTGTCTCCCCTTTCCCTTTTAGAGCGACTCGTTTTGGACCGTTTCTACCCCGCGGAGTCCAGAAAATCGCCGGGCGAGCGGTGGTTTTGTGGTTTTTCGAAACCAAGGCCATGTGTTTTTGGACTCTGACTTTTGAGGCGGCACGCGCTCAACCATTCCCCCCACGAGCTAAAGAAAACAACGTTTACGACAATTTTGGGTATTTCTGGGAGCAAGGCTTGCAATGGGAATAAAAAAGGTGGTGTTGGACTTTTGCAGCGGTCAGAACAACACCGATATGTTAAATTAAGCCAAGTTTAAAGTTTACTTGGCTTAAACAACGTAATGTGTAACGCGTAACGTAACGTACCACAAAGAGAATAACGAGCGCAGCGATCAGTACACCGACACTTTGAATAAGGTCGCCGAGGACGTGGATGAAGGCGGCGCGGACATTGATGTTGGCACCATCGTGAGCATGCTAAAAAAGCGGGTACTGAGCGTTATACCTGCAAGGGCAGAACTCTAACTCTAACTAAAGCAGACGAGAGAGTGCGAGAGAGAGATAGAGCGAGAGAGAGCGATAGAGAGCGAGATAGAGAGTGGGAGAGAAGGAGAGCGATGGAGTGGGAGAGAGACCGAGAGAGAGAGAGATCGGATAATACCAAAATTTAATAGAATTTTGCATGTACTGGTATCATCATGATCGCAATTAGCGTAGTGCTACCTAAAACGAGGGAGCGAGGGAGAGAGAACGAGAGATCGAGGCCGCACTCTTTAATTTTTCACTTACCCCTTTAGACTCCTTCTCCTCATGGCTATGCCCATGTGCAGTATTTTGAGCCTCAGTCTCATGCGATGCATCAGATCCACTATGGCTATGTCCGTGTCCTCCTCCATGACTGTGTCCATGTCCACCAGCGTGGCTATGGCCATGCCCTCCTTCATGGCTGTGCCCGTGCGCGCTTTCGATGTCCTTTTGCTGCTTCTAAATGTAAAACTTAGCAAGCTATAGGCATCACTTCCTAAATGCTCTCTGCTAGTTTACCCACCTTCTTGTTCTTTTTCGGGGATCCTCCATGGCTATGGCCGTGTCCACCTCCACCGTGAGAATGGGAGTGTCCGCCGAAGAACAGGAGGGCTCCCATACTAAACATTTGAATTTTAAGGGTGTTTAGTTTGGACCATATTAACTAAATATACTGATAGCAATTGTATCATTAAAGCTATTAATTTTTAGATTTTTTCGTCGTTTTGTATATTTCTTAGCATCCGATCGCCCTGATCTTTCCAGACTAATAATTTCACGCCCTGACCCTTTCAGAAGCCCGTTATCTAGCCCGGCTTGCCCCGAAAAACCGCGCAAAGCCGAGCGACCAAAAAATTTTGCCAGCTGCCCCCGCGGTCATGGCTGATAACGGAAGCCAACGGCTTTTCGTGTGGGATCGTATAGAAAAGTGTGATATGTTAAGGTTGACGGGTGGAGATCAAAGTTAAGTTTTGCGATACTGCCTATGATTATAGCTTATTACGTCCTAAAAACAACCAAAAATCCAAAAAAAGTGTAAACCGAGCCAAAATTAAAGGCACTTGGATGTCTCCAAATCGACCACGCGCGTCCACCAGGTCTCCACAACTACGCACTACGTCAATATACACGTCTAGACGATTTTTATGGCAGATTTTCTGTGTTCTAAAAAACATTCAAGAAACGTGAAGTAGTCTTAAGATGTATCTTGGAAAATACGTCTCTGTCAACACTTGGTAGCTTCAAAAGTCAATTCTCCCGCTTCCTAGCTAGCCCCTTTAACCCATTTCAAAAGTCCCTGAAAGTCGATCATAACGTTTATAATCTTTTTGGTACTTTTTTGAGGGCCCCCATTTCCAGCTTTTCCTCCATTCCTCGTCCTCAAAAAAAACCTCCTTGGAAAATGACTCACATCAGGTTGACGAGCACACCGAGACTGGCCGTGATCGCCATAATCTTTGGTTCCACCTGAAAAGGGGCCCGTTTTTCCTTGGTACGTATAATATGACTAGTATAGGGTAAGGCATGACTCAATTTCTCGATAAGGGGTCAGCATCAGTATTACGACTTGTGAACACCGTCAGCTACGTCACAGAACATCAACACAGTCGAGATAAGGGAGCAGGAGAGTTTAATGGTGCGAGCTTTAGCGGCTAATGTGGAAACCCTGTTGTATAAATTTTGCGGTTTTTAAAGGGACCAAGAAGTTAATAAAGTGGCCTGAGGTCTCGCTTTCTCTCTCGCTCTCTCTCGCTCTTTCTCTTTCTCTCACTCTCGCTCGCTCGCTCGCTCTCTCTCTCAAAAATTATCTTTGGGCCTTAAAAATGCAAAATTTCTTCAAAGGGGTACGAAACGTCAAGGTAAATCTCAATTTTTTTCCCAATTTCCTAGCCAGAATCTTCCGGCCCTAACCATCGGAACAGCTGTTCTACTGCTGTTGGTTGCTTTGCCATATTGCTATGTGTTGTATTGTGTGTGTGCTATGTATCCGGGGTCGACCGCTCGGGGCTCCGGCACGCTACAATAAACGCGTGAATGGGCACAATAGGGATGGTCGGAGAGCGGCTAGACGGGGTGGAAGTATCGCTCCGGAAAATACAACCCTGGGATTGTCTGGGTTCCGGGAAAAGTACACATAAGATTTTGGAGGTGCTTGGTGTTAAAATTGTTAAAAACTGACGGAAAATCGGGTTTAAAGGGGCTCGGGGGTCAAAAAGTAACGTAATTTTGTTAAAATCTACGATGACGCCCTTTTTGTAACTTTAAATGGACTGAGTAATCAAAAATCCATGAAAATCCACGCACCTCGTGATCACCCTTGATTATCCGGCTAATCGCCAGCACCACGAGAACGCCGGTGACCACCCAGATCAGGAAAACGGAGAAGAAGGCACCGAGGACTTCTGAAATAAATCAATAAGATGATATTTAAATAATTAAAGGGATAAATATGTGAAAAATTTGCCTAACCTGCTCGATGGAATCCCCAGCTCATCTTCTGGTTGGCGGGGCGGTTGGCGATGTACAGGGAGAAGAGAGAGATCAGCATCGATGCGAGATCGGTTAGCTGACAATTTAAATATTGAGTTTTTAATTTTTTTCTAGTTAATTGAGTTGAAATTTATAAGTTCATCTGAATTTAAAATCGTGCTGAACTCACCAAATGCGCGGCATCAGTAATAATGGCCAACGAATTAGCAATTTTCCCTCCGACAACTTCGCAAATCATGAACAGCAAACAAATCAGGACGGAGATCCACAGGATTCGTCTTGCTTTTCGGTTTTTCTCGTCTAAAACCAACTCTATTTTCCAAAGGATAATCAGACTACCGTACCCTCTTTCTTCTCATCGTGATCATGGCAATGGAACGAGGCGGTTGTATCGGATTTGGCCATTCCGGTCGCATTATAGGAGGTTCTGGAATAGCAGTATTTCATAGGAATTTAAGAAATTACAGTCAGCTTTATAACCACTAGTATAACGCAGTACTTTAGCCTATTGCAACGTATTAATCTTGTACGCCTTAAATACTTTAAATTTAATGTAGTGATCAAGACCTGATAGTCTGCTTACGTAGTGTTATCATTGACATAAATCGTCGACAATTCAATAGCTACCATAATCTGCTTACTAGATTACCTGAATGAACCCATTCCAAGTTAGCGATCTGGTTAATAAGCAAACGCAACTTTAAGGCAGAAAAATCAAGAAATACACCACCAAAATATACGATTTCCACTAGCCAGATTAAGGATTGCGTGGTCAGAACTCGGGCACAAACTCCTCCTCCTCCTCCTCCTCCTCCCTCCTGTCCTCATGCTTCTTTTAGCGAGTCCAAAGGAGCAGGACAGAACACGAGTGAGCAACCAACAAATCCCCTGCCCCGATGATTCGTGTTTTCCTCCGCAGAGTTCAGGTGTCGGGATCTGTCCCTGCTGTGACTTGTGGCTTTCCTTCTTTTCTTTCCAGATAACTTTAAGTATTGACGTTTAGTTTGGGATTATACAAAACCAGTCACCACTAAATGTCTACTATCGTCATACTAGGGCTCGATCCCAGATTTTTAGGGCAATTTAGGGCTAAAGCGAGGGGCGGATGTTGTGACTCACGGCTTCGCAAGCCAGTGCAATTTTCTGGGTGCCGAACGTGTCTATGCAAATTTCAAGATCTTGAAAAAGCACGCTACGGTTTACGTGACCATACATCAACAGGCTGAATCCAAAATATACAGATCTTCTTATTTTTAGGGTTTTTTTAAGCTCCGAATTGTCTAATTTTTTAAGCTTTTGAAGAATGGCGGAATTTTTTAACCAAAGTTGCAAATCCGTGAGACATTTCTCGCGATAATTAGCATACAAGAAAAGTGAAAGTTCCAGAAAATCCCAATCAGTTTCGTATGGCTTGGGAATAACTCACGCTCTCTCCACGGTTTTCGGGTTATAAATGAGCTCAACGACGGGGGCTGGTGGTACGTCTGTTGAGGCTGTCATCTCTAATTGCTAGCGCATTAAATGATACTTTTTTTGACAAGAAAGCCATGTGAAAATATGAATCAGTATCAACAAGAAGTTGAGATATCGAGAATCAGCCAAGGAACAAGCGGAAATGATAGAGAAACCGGGATTAATTTATTTTAGGGAGGTAGTTAGGAAGCCATGCAAAAATTGTCTGCTTTCCGGGATTAAATATCAGCAGCTAAGTATCGTTATGGAGAAAAGGAGAGAGAGAGAGAGAGAGAGAGAGAGAGAGAGAGAGAGAGAGAAAGAGAGAGAGACTAGCTAGATCCAGAAAAAATCTTTGCGTATTAATCAGGCGGAATCCGAGGAATTTCATATCGTAAGCTGTACCTAGCAGAAGAAATTCAGGAATACACCCTGCGAAATCAGTTCAATTCAATTTCATAAGTTCGAATAATCGCAAAAAAAATTAGAAAAAGTTAATACGTAAAAAACGTGGTAAAATCCGGAGGTGAGCAGAGAAGTTTTGCGAAATTAGTTCGTCCATACGGTAAGCAACAACTTGCAGAGAGAATTTGCGGAAATGACTGCTAAAAATCCAAAAACCGTAGAACCAGTCGCAACGCCTCGCCTGTGAAATTGTCCGGATTGGGGTGAGGGTTATATAGGGGGTGACGACAGGCCGCGGGGGGAGGTTAGGCCCCTGTCTCAAATGTTGATAACCCGCAGCTTGTGGGAGGGCGAGCACTTTTTAGGCCCAAAGGCCTGTAATAGATCTACAGGGCCTGAACAGCTTATCTTTGCATTGCGGCACCACACACAGCTATAGGGCGAGGGCCCGCCCCAATTCAGGACATTCTCACATCGGGTTCACAAGCTTTTGTAGCGAGTAGACAGGGTCGGTTTGGATGTATTAGAAAACATGGACTAATATATGTGGGTGTAGCAAGGTGTCGACGAAGAGCTAAAAGGTTGCACTAAAAATAATCTATCCTAATGGGAAAATACCAGCAACAAAACCCAGATAAATGCAAAATTAGAGTCAGTCCGCATCAGTTCTAGATTCTGTAGATGCTAGCAGGGATGCTTTGGGAATCGGTGAACAGGTGACCGGAGATTTTATGAAAATCGAAGGACAGACTAGCTGATAGCCTTCGTAAACCAAAAGCTAGCTGATATGCTTTGGCAGTCAAATAACATGCTGCATGCCGGGTTTTTCAGAAATGAGGAGCAGCCTAGGAGAGATTCTTGCGGAACCCAAAATCGTTGCAATTGCCCAAACCACCACGGCGTATGGTGTAGCCTAAATTTCGTATTACCGAAATTTCGAGAAGTAGACTAGGTTCGGCTGAACTACGGTAAACAAGGCACTCAAAAATCCAATAAACCCAAATTAGATTTTTTGGGTTTGAAAACAGTCTCAAAAGGGGGGTTTGGCACATATGCAAAAACTCTACGAATATTAATATCGAAAAACCGAAAAACGCGGGAAATTTGAGGGTGAAGCGGGGCATCCATTCATTTTGCATGGGAGGAACGGGAAAAGAATTCGCGCGACAGCATGAATGTCCCAAATTCTGAGCTGCTCGTTTGTCGCTCTCTCTCTCTCTCTCTCTCTCTCACTCTCTCTCTATCTCTGTCTCTCGCTCGCTCTCGCTTTCTCGACTTTATTCAAAACCAAGTAAAAAAGGCGGGTTTCCAGAGAATCGGACGCTGACTCACTTCTTTACAAAATATATTTTATGATGGTTTTTGGCCACAAGAAATTGGGCTATGAAATTCTCAGGGTACACATGAAGTGATTCAGCGGGTCAAACTTCAGTAAAGTTGATACGGTGCGCCATTTCGAGTTTTAGAAACCGATCGCAAGCTTTCACTGATGGCTGGGGCAAGATTTCAGTAGGCTTCGCCTAATGAAATTTTACTAAATGGCGCAAGAAAGTCGAAAAAATTTGCTGCTAGAGCAAGGAAAAGCAGGTTATAGCGCAAACCCCTCATGTTAAAACGATACCTAACAATCCTAGAGTACAACAACAACCTAACAACAAAGGCATACGAAATGCTATCATTAATGTCCGGGTATCAATGCAAGAAAAAAAAACGCTTATGGCAAGATTTCAATCCTTGGTTTCATCTATTCTTTGGTGTCTGTTTTCCACAAAACTCAGCCCATGCAGAATCTTGATTTTGCAAAAGTGGAAGGCAGTTCTGCCAAGCCAACCAGGCATGGCCCATCCAGTCCCCCTGCTACCCCTACAGACTCGAACCGGCGGCCTTTCATTGGCCTATGTATGTTACCTCCGGGATTCCGGGAAAACCGACCAAAGTTTGACGCAAACAATGCAGATAAGAGGTTTATATAAAACACGACCCGAGATCAAGAGGGATAGACGTCTTCCGATCATCTCACTTATCTGTGGGTAAGCTATAACGCCGTTTTTAAATAAGGTTAAAAGGTGGCAAGTTGGGCGTGTCGATTCTGATATTGTGAAAAGCATTATAAGCTAAAAAGTAACTTGCTAGAGGCATCTTAAAATTAACCATCACAGTGCCAATATCTCGTCAATAGGTTATCAGATTCCCAAAAATAACTCATGTTTATGGCAAGAACGAGCACGTGCAGGAACCAAATTTTGAAATTTCTGTTTGTTTTCTACGCGATAGTGATCGTCAAGTTAACTTCAAATTTCCTTCAGCCAAAAAAGCCGAACGGCTGATTAATCGTGAATCCGTTGACCCTCGTGAAAAATCCCGCTTTTAAACTGCTACAATCTGCACGTTTATGTAGCAGTTTAGGTCTTTTTGTTTTGATTGTTATGGATGTGCGTTAAATACGTAGAGTTAAATGTTTTTAAACCTAAAAAAACCATCGGTTTAATCGTGAATTGTGTGTGCTTGTGTGTTGTTCAGTATTTATCACAAAGAAAGGCCTTAACAACACACAAGAACACACACACGCTTTTAAGCTATGATATTGCCCAGTTCTTGAAAATTTTAGGTGAGGCGATAAGATTTTAATGTCGACTTTTTCAATACATTGATCAAGGAAATTCACTTTAGAAAAATATATTATCGTATAAGTCATTTGATAGTAGTTTACCAAGTAGTATTTCAGCATTATATTAATACCCTCCGTGTATTGCTTAGGATATGTAATATATCAAAAAAAGAACTTACAATCCCGCTCCAAGCAGTGGTTCCCTTTGGTCATTTTTCGCACGTTGTGGTATTGATTTTCGAATTAAATGTAGCAATTTTTAGCGCAAATCTGGCATGAGCCTCGTTAGTGTGAAGCAGTAAATTGAGGGCAGACTTGATGCTCGACTTCAGCCGGGAGCGAGCCCCGAGGTGGTGACCACTTGTTGGCCCTTATCACTGTCTCGATGCCCTCTCAATATTGAATGATATTTTCACGGATCGATCCCCTTAATAGAGCTGATAAGGGTCGGAGTCTTTGTTCTATCGAGTGGCACTTTAGAGTTGTGCTAGTGTTTGATGCACTTTCTACCCCAGGCTATATTGGTGGCTGTAGTACAGAAGATGGTTGCCGGGCCAGGATCATACCGGAATTTCAGGAAAAACCTCAAAATGACTTTTTGACAGACCATTTACATGTTTTGCCGAAACCTATAAAAGCCACTCTAGCACTTCATAAATTCTTTTAATGGACTTTTTGCATCTTCTAGTGTACATAGGACATAAGCTGAATTGCGGGCATAACGGATATTAAAAAACTCGCGACTTCTTCTTCATAAATTATTTTCAATGAATGTTCTGCCCTACTTAGCCGCCTATTTTCGCCAAAGTAGCGCAGCGTACGGCAACGGAATGAGGATGAGATCGGAAACTTGAAAAATCCAGATAGACCTCAAACATAATTTTTATAGAGTAACTGACTTTTCTATCAAAGCCGTGTTTGTACGTGTAATGTGGGGGGACAGTAGCGGAATCAGGATTGTTCCGGAACTTTGGAAAAGGTAAACTTTTTGCTGATTAAGGACTGTTTTCTAGATCGGTGTGGTTCTTAGGCAAAGTTTATACAACGCAGCCAACACATGGGAATTTTGTGACAAATAAATATGCAAATTTGAAAAGATGCGTTAATGGTCCTTTATATACTTTGAGAAAGCACAATTCTTGAAGATCAGTTCGTGATAAATCAAACAAATAAGTCAGCTTTATACTCATTGCAAAGCATTTTTGTACTATAGCGATACGGTAACACTTTTCCTCAAGAATGATATATTAGAATTAATTGAAGGGATTAGTGGAACCCAACCTACATACAGTTAGAACCCCGAAAAATTTCGGAAGGAGCAAGAATTGAGGCCCCGGAAGGCCCGTGGGAATGTGCCAAAATTCGCGGGTTTTTTCTGCAGTGGGCCGCCCACGGTCTCTCCCTATTCTTATCGCAGATGGACTGCCCGGTGGCTCTGGCTGGCCGACGAAAACGGGGAAAACGGTTGAAAATAGGGGAAGAAGGGAAGCGAGACAGATGACGGGTGGTTGAGGCTTTTCGGCAGGGTCAGGAGAAGTTATCGGCGCACTGGCGTGAGGCGCTGGAAAAAATTGGAATTAAAGGGGCGGGAAAAGTAGGAAGGTATTTTTTGTGTTCGATGGATTACGAAGCCGTAAGACGTCGAGAAGCGTGTGCGTTGCGTGTCGCGGGCAAGAATTTCGCTAGTTATCTCTTGCTCTCTCCTTCTGTCCTCGCTCTCCCTCTCTCTCGCTCTCTCCTCTCTCCCTCGTTACTCTTTCTCGCGCTCTCTCTCTCTCTCTCTCTCTCTCCTCTCTCTCTCGCTTACCCTTGGCGCTTTTTGCACCTCCCCAACAGCGTTTGTCTTCACCGAAGCGCCTCCGTGGTGAGCTCCTTCAATATGCTTGTCTCAAAACCAGATCATTTTGCCATACCGTGACTAGCGTTCGACGGAGCATCAGCTTGGTGACTAGTGATTGACGATGTTCTGCACTGATTGCAGAGATGAGCAAAAAGGAGGGCCCGGATCTGCGGATCGAAGATGGCGAGCAGCAAGGGGCGGAGGCAGGAGCTCAGGGTTAGGGTGATCACACTAAATGGAGGCTGAGATTGATACCAAACCCTTTTCAAATTTTTCCCCAAAAAAAAACCAATAAATTTTAGAAAAAAAAATTTTTTTAAAAAAAAAAAAAAATTTCCCTTCCTCCCCGGGTGATTAATCCCAAAAAAAAAAAAAAAAAAAAAAAAAAAAAATTTTTTTGCCAAACTCATAGAGCTAGAAAGACGGCTGGAGTCTTGTAGCCGTCAGGACCTAGCTGACAAAGGTATATATTCTGACAATTCCTTAGTTCTTTAAAGATGCGTATCCCCAGGTTTAAAACTCCCTAGGAATCTTACCTGGCAATAAACAAGCTATTGTCTAATCGAAAATCGAAGACTCGATGCAATCGAAAGGCAATGACACTCCGGACAGATTCACATAGTAGTGGAACGTAGTCGATGATCACGATTGTGGTGGCGATGGCGTGGGCATGTTTTTCCTAAAATTTGCAATTTTTGGCTTCACCATTGACTTGCTTTATCATCCCTGGTTTTTAATCCTTTCGTACGTTTAGGTTTTACGTTAATTTCCCCGTCTCGTCACAATCAAGCCGTTCAATCCGCCCCCATTTTTCCATACTTTGGTCTTTTTCTGGGGGTGCGGAAAATGACGAGTGTCTGATAGGGTCTTATCAGGTCCGGAAGTCGCGGTGGTTTTTCACAGAGATGGGGGATAATTTATAGCCGAAAAGTGACAATGAGTAATCCAGATTTTTATTGAATTTTTTGGCAAAATGGACGTTAAAAACGAGAGCTATCATTAACCGTTGTTATGCAACAATTGATGGAGCACTTATTGCCCTATCCGCACGTAAACATTGTTGTTTTTAGGGCTGCAGGCCTTGCAAAACGAGGGGCCTGATGGAATTAACCTAACCTCCTTGCTTCCACTCTTTATCGCTCCAATCATTGTCAATACAAACGAGATGACGGCGGCGATGGTCAGGGCAAACAGGGCTCCTTCTAGGATGAACTCGAGTACGCAGTCGATCTGAAAAGTCGGATGAAAGGTCTTGCAATCGAACCTAATTTTTTCATAGGTATCGACTAGGCAAACAGTCAAAGGGGCTGACGGGAGGCGGCAAAAGCAAAGCGTTGCCTATTGAATTTTGCAGGTTAAATGATCTTGCTTAATGACGCCAGACTTTAAGGGGATTAGGCAGCGCAAGGATTGATCTTTTCCGTGGTCTAGGTCTTGGTAGGTTGACAAGGTCATTTTTTAGCGTTTCTAACGACTATAGGAAGCGCGATGTTCGAATCTATGAACTAGTAGATCTCGAAAGCTGGCGGTCGTTCCAAAACATCTCGATGCTAAATTAGAACCAACACTATCGCAAATTCATACCAATTTAAGGCCAAAAATTTGACAAAAATCTGTCCCAAAATATGTCAAGATCCTACCGTAGTATCGCATTCTGTAAAATCCACTCTCGACGTCCACTCGTCTCGATCACGAAAGATGATGGCGACGAGAAAAGTGGGGATAACAAAGATCAGAGCTAGGATCAGCCCACGACGAAACAGGGTCCAGCCCACTTCCTAAAATTCGGTTCATCGCAGAACAACTGTATTAAGTGGCATCGGAAACCTATAACTTCTGGCCCAGGAAACTTTTAGTCAAAGTCCTCTCTCAAAATCCTTATCCAGAAAAAGCTTTAGGTATACCCCAGTGTTCTGAAGCTTCCTTACCGGTGCATGTGCTATCGTAACCCTCTCAATCGTCGTCAGGATTGCCGCCGTAAAGAGAAGCATTCGTACTGGCTGCGCGATTGCCGTGAGAAAGTCGCTCTGCTCGAATGTGATTGCGTAGTAGCCGATTTGTGAGGGGAGGATCAGGACGAAGAAGACGAGGGCCCAGAGGAGCTCCATGATGGTCTGTAAAGGGCGGATAGAAACTAACTACTGTAAATTCTAATTTTTTGACTATCTTACCTGTACTACAGAGATCTTGTAAAAATTCCCTCTTAACGACTCGTTCTTCGCGATCACGGTAACAATAGCAATATTTAGAACACAGCAAATTGCTGATCCACCGGCTAGATACGGAAAGATAGCTTGCACAGCCAAATGGTCAGCGTCCATTCTTGGATCCATCGATCAGAAGCTTTCGAACCTTCGGCCTCGATATCTAAAAAATACGGATTTAAGGCTACTGAAGCCCAAAAAGCAAGTAATTCCTGGGAAGCAGGTCCTGGAGAATGTAGTCAAAAATAAAAATCGGGGCGGCTCGAGGTGAAAAAGAAGGGAGGTGAGATTGAGCTTGCAAAAAGTGGATTTACTGGGCTGGAACGCGTGTGTTTTGGTCCCAAATACATTCCTTGGGACATTAAACTTAAACTTCTTAGGTTTCGGAGCATGACAGAGTGCGAGACCGAGCGAGTGATAGAGCGAGCGAGACAGAGAGGGGGATAGAATGCGAGAAAATTAGAGTGCAAGAGAATGTGAGATAAAGATAGTGCGAGAGTGAGAGAAAAAAAGTGAGAAAGCGAGCGAGAGAGATCGCGAGACAGGGAGCGGGAGAGAGGACGGAGAAAGCTCAAGTTCGTCGAGTTATTTAACTCAATGCTAAAAGCTAGTTTCACGAAATTTCCGCCCAACCCAAAAAAATGATAAATCACGCTTTCTTTTTCAAGTTGAACGTAAGTAACATAGATTGTGAAAGTAGCGCAATATGGAGGTGAATGTGAGCCTGATGGCTGAAAAATACGCCCGATTCGCCGCCATATCCCGTGACAAATTAATCGGATCAAAAAGTACCAACCAGATCGTAAAGCATGCAAACCTTCCCATTACATGACAACCTTCCGCCCATTTCAACCCCGTCTAAAGCCTCGTAAATCAGTAATAATCGCTTGGGGACCCGGGCCGGCCAGCAGGTAGCAAACGGCCCTTGGTGAAATGGGTTATTCTCAGGCAATTAGTAGCCGTGCCACACAGCTTGGCTCGGCAGCGCGGCCGTCAAATTATATTTTACCGTGGCGACCGCAAGGCGGGGGGAGGGGTGTGCTACGAAAAAGGGTGAGTTTCGTGAGATCTCAACGATTTTTAGAGGGGCAAAATAGCGAATTTCCCAGCTTGCGAACCGCGTGGGAAGGTCAAACGTCTGAAAAATTGTAGCTTGAAGTTTCCCAGGGTGTTTTTGTAGTTTTCTTGATTAAACTGGTACGACACAACGCGTAAAATCAATCTAATTTTTAATGGCGCAAAATAGGAATCGTGGAGTCACTTTTTACGTAAAAATCGTGGCTTAGAGTTTCCAATCAGTTTTTTTAGGATTTTAATGACTTAGTTTGAAAGGTTGATCTCGTCGGAGCAATCGGAATATTTCAAAGCCAAAGGGAAATCGTAGAGCTAGTTTTACGTCAGAAACTGTGATTTGTAATTTTAGACTGTTTTACGGTGTTTAATGATTACATTTTTACGAAAAACTAAACCATATTCTTTTACGGGTACTTGATTTGCTTTATGGTGTTTTAGCCACTTATCCGTTCCGCTTTCCGATCGAACTTACGCCGAAAATTAGATAGATGAGTTGGCGTACCCGAAATTACATTAATGCATCATAACACGTGCAGCTTTCATGTTTTCTGCGAAATGACCTGTCTTAGAAAAAATCTATGAAAAATTCTAGACTGTTAGGTTTTAAAAAACTTATTTTCGCTGTTTTACTGGAAATTATCATTTTTTTTTTCTTGCTTCAACAGCTCCATCTTCGCTAGAAACTTTTCTAATTATAAAGCAGGCATAGGCTAGAAATATGTAAATATGCTAAATAGAAATATGTGTAAGTCATAAATATGCTCTGAAAACTTTTAAATTAATCCGTACTGCGCACTCAAACCAAAATTCCTCGTAAATATAACTCCCCAGGCTTAATTTTCACCTGTCAACGCCGTCGCGCCGAAACCTGAGCCCAACCGGGCGAAAATAAAATAACAACCGCCAAAAATAAGCTTGGTCCCCGACAAAATCGCAAAAATGGAGCTCAGTAGGTTGTGGTATCAACAGCACGTTCAGTAACACGGACCAACCTTAGACACATCACCGCGATCAGAGAGAGGAGGGCGGGGTCTCTTTTATACCCCCTTCTCCCCGGGTGGGCCAGGTGGCGCGCGTTTCGGGGATGCTGGGAGAGCGGCAGGACAGGAGTGGTTTTTGGGCTTGCTTGATCGAACTTCGCATGCCACTCGTCAAATTACAAACAAAAAAGCATCATTTAAATCTATAATTTTATGTGGCGTCAGATGAGGCCTATCTAGAGACAAAATCGATGGATTTCTCGGTTCAACAGAGAAAGAGAAAAAAATCGTGAAAAGGCTCCAGTATTGCCCGAAAATTATGATTTTTGGTATCTAATGTCATTACCATTTATTTAACCTAAAAACAATAGAAACAATAAAAAGTACTAATCTTTATCACCTGAAACCGAAATATCACACCCGTAAATGTATAAATCGTACATAGGATGAGGAAGGAACCGGAATATGTGTTTGTATGTGAAGCAAAAGCCTACAGAGTAGAAAATAATAACTAAAACAAATGTTGCCATAGAAAACACGATATTTTGGAGGGGGGCATAAAAAAAGAAAATGTCTCGCAAAATTGAAAATAAGAAAACTGCTGAAAAATACGATAAAATCAGCACAATTTGCGGAAAGTGACTGGGAAAAATTGATTTTCAAAAATATAATAAGATGAGCAGGGCTGGAGCAAGAGAAAATTGCTTTCAAAAACAAAGTAAAATTACCAGCTTTGGCGGGAACGATCCCCTCGGCTTAGAGGTCTTGGGGGAGATTTCTCCCCTCTTTACATAAATCCGATATTTTTGTGTGTGTCTATTGTTCGGGGGGAATGTCGTCCCTTTGGAGACCGACAGAATGGGTACGTAATCGTGGTGGGACCGGCCGAAAGAGGACTAATGACGAGGCTGTGCGGCTGCGGTGACGGCCCCGTTCACACATCTCAATGTCCTAAATGGCACCGTGGAGCTTAGATGAGGTACGCTTGAGGTTTTGATTTTTGAACTTTATGGAATTTGCTTTGCAGGAATTTGATAGCTTTAATCGGGTCTGTCTAGATGTTGCTAATTAATAATTAGTAGATAATTATTAAAGAAAAATGTCGAATTTTCTTTTTCGCAACTGGTCCAAAATTCATTTTTTATTGTATTTTCTTGTTTTTGAGAAAAAGGAATCAATAAAAAATGTACGTGAAAACTTTAATTCAATGCCATAAATTTTCTGGCGTTTTTTACTATTTTCACGATTGTTGGGTTCAAGGGTCCCAGGTTTTCAAGGTACACTAATCACCTTTTCACGATAACTTTCAGGTCATATAAATTGATAAAAAGTTATATAAAGGTTTCAAGGTACAAAAATACCAACCATTCCCGACTCCACATCCGTTTCATTCCCTCCCCCGCTTGATGAGGACCCATTTCGAGATGTTCTTCTGATTTCTGGCATCTCTTGTTCAATCGGTACGGTTACGTGACCTTCCGTTACGCTACGCTCTGCTACACCAAGCTCCTCTTCACCCTCGTCTGATGATACGGAATCCTTAGATTTGCGGGATCGTCTTCGATTTTCCGGCACTTCTTCGTCGTGTATTGAGAACGCTCTCGCACGTCCGGCTACGCCATGCTCCTCTTCACCCTCATCGGATGAACTGGAATTCTCGTCCTCGCCAAGTCGTCTTCGATGTTCTCGGACTTGCTCATCGCGTATTGAAAACGCTACAGTATGCTCCGCTACGCCATGTTCCTCTTCCCGCGCATCCGATGATCCGGCAATCGAAGCTAATATCGGTTCCTGCGTCCGTTTTTCAACATTCACATATCCACCCGACGGGCCTTGAACCTCAGATATGGCCTCAAAGGCTGGTGCTCGTTTGTGCCAATCTGAGTTTAGATCCAGTTTATCTCTCGCGTATGCTCGTTGCAGAAATTCTTCAGGATCCTCCACTTCTAGTGGGTGCTGCCGGGTAAAAGATGGACTTGGGCTACAGGTAGCAGAAGTTGGAGTAGAATGCTTCTTCTTGGCACGTTCGTAGTCGTTTTCTGTGATTGGCGGAAGTTGGAGCATAGTATCGCAATCGATGGTTAGGTCTCTGAAAATTGAACGTTCAAGAGAGAGGGAGAGAGAGAGACGAGAGACAGGAGAGGAGAGAGTGAGAAATAGGGACGAGCTAGAGAGAGAGAGAGAGAGAGAGAGAGAGAGAGAGAGAGAGAGAGAGAGAGAGAGAGATTCAGTGATAAAGAAGGTACAGAGAGAACGAAACTGGAGAGAAAGAGCGAATGGTAGCGAGAATAATGGGAGAGAGTGAGGGAGAGAGAGGGGGGATAAGAGAGAAGGGGTGAGAAGGGGGGGTTAAATTGTCCTGTTTTGCGCTTGCCTCATCTCATTCAACAGCTTCCGATTCACAGTAACCGTCTCGCCATCAGCACCCCGCTTTATGCTGTCGTGAATCTGCATCCCAAGCATCTTCTTCCGCGCCCAAATCTCGGCCACTTCCCGATACTCTTCGGCCGATAGCGCGATTTTCTGAACCTTATCGATTGCTAAGGTTTTCTTTGATTTTCTAACCTCTGTGTCGGTATTTTCAGCAGTTTCGTCAACTTCCAACAATTCTATGGGTTTTGCCAGGTATTCAAGCGGAACTGGGCATTCATCATCCAGGTATGTCAATTGCTGGGTGCCCATCGGTTGACCACGCGCCGCTGAGCCGAGATCGAGGTATCCTGAAGGTCGTAGTGTCTCGAGGATGGGTTATCCATGTAACAGTAATAAAAAAAGAGTCGGTTTTTGGGTCGTCTAACACTTTTAGAAGCAAAAATACCACTGCCTGCCTGCCTGTGAGAACTACTTACCGTACTGCTCGTCGCCCATGTTCAGCAACACAGCCAACCTCAACCTCAAGTCGTCAAAAGTCGGTCTCAAGTCGGCCTTGAACTCCCAACACTGCTTCATCAGGGCGTAGCTGAAAAATCATTGTAATGAAGTTTTCCGATGATGGGACCGAAAAACGAAAACTACCGTACCACTCGTTAGGACACTTTATAGGCTGCTTGGGGCGATGGCCCTCCTCGAGGTGTTCGATCATTTCCATGGGCTGGACGGAGGGGAATGGGGCTTCACCGAGTGAAAACATCTCCCAGAGCGCGATACCGTAGGACCAACTAAAATATTTGATTTAAGAGAGAGAGAGAGAGAGAGAGAGAGAGAGGGAGAAAGAGAGTGAAAGAGAGACTCACACTTCCGTCTTCTCGGTATACTCGTAGAACTTGAGCGATTCCGGCGACATCCACTTTATCGGCAGCTTCCCACCCTTAGCAGTGTAAAGGGCAGAATCGGCATATCGACACAACCCGAAATCGGATATCTAAAGTTTTGTATAGGTTTTAAGGCATTTTCCCACCTTGGCGCACATATTTTTGGTCAGCAAAATATTTCTGGCCGCCACGTCTCGGTGGATAAATTTGTGGGAGACCAGGTAGAACTAAAAACGGCGGTAAAATCCTTGAATTCCGTAGATAACCAGCGACACCAAGAGGCTTGGCTAAAAACGGGAGTTTTTTCAGTACTGACCAAGCCATCAGCTACTTGCCAAGCAATAGACACAAGCTCTTTGATGGTAAGTATGTGCTCGTAGTCGCTGGATGTGGAATGCTCGTCCTAAAAAATGAAATTAAAGGAATAGACCAGTAATAAAACGATACCTTTAGAATGCTGCCTTTGTTCTTACGGATGAATCGTAGGAGATCACCGTGTTTGCAGAATTCAACGACGATCAAGGGTTCTTAAAAAGAGTGTTTGGAAGTAGATCGTAGAAAGCAAGAGAGAGAGAGAGAGACCAAGAGGGAAGCTTACTTACCGATTGGATTCGAAACACAGCCAAGCATAGAAATAACATGCGGATGATAGCCAAGCTTTTTCATAAACGCCATCTCGTGGAAAAAGTCCATTCGACCCTCATGGTTCGCGTGGGCGGGCAATTTTTTGACAGCCACCTGAAGTTCACCTTATCGATTTCAATAAATTTTTCCATTAAATTGTGAATTCGCCTTTTTCTAGCAATAGGTGTGAAGGGGAATTCCGAAATCGGGCTTCAAAGCCTCGGCAGGTATTTGCAAAGATCCTTACCTCACTGTGATCCGTATTTGAGCCCTCGAGCACTAATTTTAACGAATTGTAAACTTTGAAGAGCGGGATGGTACCCTGAAAATTGGTTCGAACATCCATATTTTTGTGTGCTTACTTTTAGTGTGCCTCGATACACCGATGCAAAAGCTCCATTGCCCAGGCAATCGTCATGCACCAACAGGTTTTCGTCTGGATCTCCCAGCGGTCTTTTCTAAAAAAGGGATATGCTTTTGGAGGTTTACAGAAAACCGTACTTTTGAAGCCAGATAGCCGTTTTTAAAGGCGCTCAAAATGTGTAAAATCGATCGATCAATCGATCAAAAGCTCTTTTTGGGCATGAAGGTGATGTGCTTGACGCCGTTCAAACTTTAGAACTCACTTAAACTGCTCGGCCAACGACTTGATGTCCATGTAAGTGTTCATTTGAGCCACCGTCATTTCTAGCTTCCTAAAAACACCGAATTTGCCCTTCCGAAGCACTTGACATACACGTTCGGGTCAGTTGCATCTCCTTGACTAGGTGCTGCGGTTCGGGCATCACCATAAACCCGCCACCATTTATTTCCGGAATTTCGGGTCCTCTTGATCCCGACAACTACACAGCCGATGCAAATGACGGTGATGGCCAGGGTGGGGATTACGATGATGATGATCAGGCCTAAAATGGTGGTTTTCAGGTCGAGATTTTTCAGGTTTTGTTTTTATTTTACAGTTGTTTCGAATGGGCTACTGAATGAGAGAAAGAGCGAGAGAGTGAGAGAGGGGAGAGAGAGAGAGAGAGAGGAATGTGAAAAAACGCTGTTTACTTGATGTAATTTGCCCGGAAATCTATTTTTTCGACGTTTCGTCGTATGCGCGTCGCCCATACCGGTTGCTATATTTAGGGAAAAACTTTAATTAAGAGATTGAAAACAAGACTTTAAAGAACCCACGGACTGCTCCGCCATCATCATCCGCAGCAGCCGCTTGCCCAATCAAAAGGGGCCGTTAAAAAGTGGAAGAATAATAGAAAATTAGCGCTCTTCGGCATGGCCACAGATCGTTTTTCAATCGTATCGTTCGTAGTGTTGCCGCGAAAGTGACGAATGGCCCCTCAAGGCAATTTGATGAGCTGAGAGAGAGGCAAAACGCCTCAAGAAAATATTCAAGCCTTATCGGGTCAGTGGAAAAGCTGAGGGTCGCTGTGTATAAACGACTCACTTTCCCTCTCTCCCTCTCTCTCTCTCTCTCTCTATCTCTCTCTCTCTCCCCAACGATCAATTTGGCTTATTCTGGCCCGGATGGACGGAAGGGGGCAGGCGGGAAGGCGGGCAAGCCAATAAGCTGCTTTAGTGGCTTGGCCGGTGAGGTGGCAGAGAGATGGATTGGGAAATCAGACGCTGATTTCTCATCGTGCCGTCTGTTTGCTGAACCTTGTGTTTGTGGTGGTGGCCATTTTCCGGTGGTGTTACTGACCGGAAATTGTTTTTTCGGGCGATTTTTGCAACATCGCTTATCGGCTAGAGAATAACCCCCGCCTCATGCCAGCTACATTTAAGGGCCGCGAAAAAATTATGAAGGGTAAAGGAAGAAAAAGGGCAAAAACTTTTTTACAGCTAGCCAACCCAGTAATTGGTGATTAAAATTTTCGATTCAAACAATTTATTGCGAGCGCAGGCTAGCTGTCTCTAGCTGTCTCTATTTGTCTCTCTCCGTCAATCTCGCTCACTCTCTCCCACTCTCGATGTTTCTCTCTCGGTTTCACCCGCTCACGCTCGCTCTCTTTCTCCCTCCGGCTCTTTTGCTTTCCCTTTTGCTCTCATTCTTTCGATCGCCATCTCACACTCTCACGCTCAGTCTCTCTCCCACCTCAGACTCTCTCTCCCCTCGTTCTCACTCTGCCCACGCTCTTTAGTCTCCTTAAATCTATCAAATTAATATCTCCTTTCTTTCTTTCTTTCTCTCTCTCTCACTCTCTCACCTCTCTCTCTCGCTCTCGCTCTCTGAAGTCTCTTTCGCTCTCTCTCTCTATTTTTTCTCTCCTCCAGAAAGGAATGCTTTATTCACGTGAAACAGGCATGAATTCGGAACGACATTCCTTAAAGCTAAATCCCAAAACGGCAAGGACACAAAAAATAATCACAAAAAAACACAGAACCCGAATTTGTTAATCACAAAAGAAGACAAAAATTAATGCAGTTCAGCGGACGATTAATAACATTTGTTCTAGCAGTCGAATTGCTCGGCGTCGTGCTCGGACTCTTCGTCGAAAAGATCATCGAGGAAGTCATCGTATCCTTCCTCATCCTCCTCAACTTCAGCAAGTTCGGCGAGCAGCATATCATCGGTGTCGTTCAGTTCCTGGCGAATCGTCTCGTACGGTGGTTGGCGGCGCGGGGGATGAGGCAGAGTTTCTAAAAAGGTCAAAATGATGAGATCAGGAATACGTTAATTTACCCCCATTGCCCTTTGCTAGGTATATACGACAGGTATTTTTCGAGTTCCCCCCCCCCGTTAATAGCTTAGAACCGAGCATTGGGGCTAGCAGCGTGAATAGCAACAAACGTACCGTGACGTCATAGAAGACGTCCGGCTTCCACTGGAGACCATCAATCGACAGTTCAATGGGGGTGACCATACGATAGAGGTCGATGACCAGGGTCTCGACGCGCGTCTATGTCCACTCCGGAGACCAGTGCAGGTCGTGGTCGTCTGGTCGCCCGGCGACTTTTCTGGAAAAGTGACGATTCCGCCGAAATTGTAAAAGTTGGTTTTCTGGCATCTTGAAGGGGGTAAAAGGAAAAGAGATTTGTTGGTGAACACGCGGTTGCCGCGCTGCGGAACTTAAGCTGATAGACGGATATAGCGTGCGGGTGCGCAACTAAAAAGCGGGTTCGGGCCCTAAACGCGAGGAAAGAAAATTCATTACGCTGCTGGTGATGATCAAAAATGATCAAGACGTCCTGTATCCCATCTTGGGCACGCGACGCCGGTACGTTGTGTGTCTCGGAAACCCGCGGTAAATCCCTTGCCCCACCGTGACTCCCTATCGAGCCGGCCGACATTCTCGTAGACGTTCAGCTCCGTGTAGTTGCCCACGATTTGCAGGCAGCCGTCGTCGACCAGGTCAATCTCGAAGGGCAACTCCACGCTACGCGTCTGCTCGGTCCAGTTGAGTGAGAACTTCGTCTGAAAATGTTTGATTTTGGGGTAAGTAAAGCCGCTGAACGTCTTGAACAAGTGCGAAACGGCCAATAGCAAAAAATTTTGGTTCCCAGTCGCTTTATTGTTTTGTTAAATACCACGCACCACGACGACGGCATGTATGTGGAAGTCGACAGCCGGCGTTGGATCGGGCGCGTCAAACCGCTATGAACATCTACACTCAAGAGAAAATAGGAGGTGTACCTCTGTAGTCAGCCTCCCGTTCTCGCACATGATAAGCCGGTGCATGCCCATCGGTAGGATGTTCGCCTTCAGCCCCGAGTAGAGGAGGTTCAGCTGGCGACGAGGCTGAACTTATGATCTGAGAGTCGGAGACAAAGAGAGCGTGAGGCAGAGAGAGAGAGAGCGAGAGAGAGATAGAGAGAGAGAAGAGATCACCTGGCTCCGCAAATGCAATTGCCGTAGATGAACATCGTAGTAAGGGTGGCGCTCGTCGCCCATCCTCTGGAACGTCACCGAGCCGTCCACCTCGAGATCGGCCAGCTCTTCGGTGGCCGGTTCTACAGAACATTTTCAAGGTAAAACCCTCTCGACTACCACTCCACATCGTGATTACCGCCGGCTGGTGGCTCAAAGTGATCAGGTAGTCCATAGCAAAATATCGCCCGTCGGCCGCCTCGAAAATGACCTAGACAGCGAGTTCAAGCTGTAATTCGTCATCTACCTCATCA